GAGGACTCTGAACATGGACCCGTTCTTGGAGAATAGGGACCATATCTTGTCACCTCTGTGTCCTCAGCACCCCAAATAGGCTCAGGGACAGAGGCAAAACTAATGGCTATTTTTTGAATGTCTGATTCTCTTCCAGTGCCCTGACTTTTTTCAGGAAAGATGGAATGTCTTCACTCTATGTTAGAGTTAAGGCAACTGGGGCCTGGAGAGGGAGTGAGACAGCCCCAAGGTCACAGAGCAAGTAAGCAGCCACCACACACTTAATCCACACCCCTTGGCTCTCAGACCCTTGACTGAGAATGTCTCATAGACCAGCTCTGGGACTTAGTTGAGCCTCAGTTTTGTTTTTTGTTTTTTGGTTTTTTTTCTGTAAAATAGAATTGTAGTCCTACTAACTTCATGGAATTAATTAGACGCCGTGTATAAAAGCACGGACCCGGTGTGTGCACAGGTGGCTAACAAATGTCCACTCATTTACTAATTTATTCAATTATTCTTTCATGATATAACAGGCAAAGGAAATTTGACAATCTCAATAAGGGACTGTGAAAATGCTCACACATTGACCCAGAAACTGTGCTCACCAGTATATCCCCATCCCAGGGTCTGGTATACAGTGGGAGCTCCATAAACATCTGTTAGGATGAAATTGGGCTGCAGCGATAAGGAAGGAAAAGAAGCTTTAGTCCCAAAGATATTTCCTTCCACGTTACTCATAGTTGAAAGTGGGAAGAGAGGGAGGGAGGAGAGGACGAAGAGAGAGAGAAGGTTTTCTTTGAAAGGACCCTGAAAACAACCTAAATATCCTGCACTATGGAGAAAGGGTGATTGGTAAAATGTTGCTTTCTTTTATTGCTGAAATATTCTAAACCGAAGGTCAGCAAAATTCGGCTCACAGGCCAGCTCTGGTCAACTGCCTGCAGATGTAAATAAAGTCTAAGTGAAATAACAGCCATCAGTGTAGCCAGTTCTGGAACATCATATAAATGGAATCATAAAGTATGTTCTTTTTTGTGTCCAACTTCTTTCACTCAACATCACCTCTTAAAGATCCACTGTTCTTTGTGTGCATGTTAGCAGTTCGCTCTTTTTCATTGCTGTATAGTGCTTCATTGTATGGCTATGATCAGGTACTACTATTATCTCCATTATACATATACGGAAACTGCCACACAGAGGGCTGACATGACCTGCCCATGGGTGCACAGCAGGTTCATGGTAGATCCAGGCTTTAAACCCTGGGTCTGGAATCAGTGATTTTTACCTGCTGTACAATGCTGCCTTCATGCTGTCGTGATGGAAGCTCAGTGGGTACTGGGAGCTCAGAAGAAGGGTTGCATCTTCCAGCCTGGGGAGCTGGGGACGCTGCCAGAGAAGCTTCAGTCAGAGCTAGGGTTCCCAGACTCAGACAGCCACGGGGGCCTGGGAGGTGTCATGAATGATCAAAGCAGATGGCCTCTGAGAAATCACAGCTTGAGGTCAGGGAAGCAATAGGGAGGGGTGAGAACTGTGGCAATTGAAGGACACCAGCCTGTGAAGAGGCAGCTACAGGTGTAGCTGCAGGTATGGTTGCTATGTACCATTGCAGTGAGCCAGAACACAGTGAAACAGCCATGCCGACTTTTGGGGCCAGCTTCTATACCAGTAGGTCAGTGCCCAACTGTCCCAGTTATTAAATATTTTTAAAATATTTTATTTTATTTTGTCGATATACAATGTGGTTGATTATTGTGGCCCATTACCGAAACTTCCCTCACCTCCCTCCACCCCCCCAACAATGTCCTTTCTGTTTGCTTGTCGTATCAATTTCAAGGAATTGCAATTGTTATGTCTTCTTCCCCCTCCCCCCGTTTTTTTTTTGTGTGTGTGTATTTATTTATTTATTTATTTTTAGCTCCCACAAATAAGTAAGAATGTGATATTTCTCTTTCTGTGCCTGCCTTGTTTCACTTAATAAAATTCTCTCTAGGTCCATCCATGTCATTGCAAGTGGCAGTATTTCATTCATTTTTATAGCTGAGTAGTATTCCATTGTGTAGGTATACCACGTTTTCTGTATCCACTTATCTGATGATGGACATTTGGACTGGTTCCAACTCTTGGCTATTGTAAAGAGTGCTGCGACCAACATTGGGGAACAGGTATACCTTCGACTTGATGATTTCCATTCCTCTGGGTATATTCCCAGCAGTTGGATAGCTGGGTCATATGGTAGATCTATCTTCAGCTGTTTGAGGAACCTCCAAACCATCTTCCACAGGGGTTGCACCATTTTGCACTTCCACCAACAATGTTGTTCAGAGTCTTTTGGATTATAGCCATCCTAACTGGGGTGAGATGGTATCTCAGTGTGGTTTTGATTTGCATTTCCCGAATGCTGACTGATGTTGAGCATTTTTTCATATGTCTGTTGGCCATTTGTATATATTCCTTAGAGAAATGCTGATTTAGCTCTTTTGCCCATTTTTTAATTGGGTTACTTGTGTTTTTCTTGTAAAGTTGTTTGAGTTCCTTGTATATTCTGGATATTAATCCTTTGTC